TATGAGCTACCTGAGTTAAATATCACTAGATGGGAGATATTTTCACGAATAATTATTGGGACATGATGATATTTTTGCGTTACATATATTGGACTTATATTCCGATGACGCCCATGTGTGAAGAATGGAATAATTCGGTTTTGGATGGACTCGGGGGCTACACATAAATCCTCAAAAATAATTACAGTACTCCTCTCTGGAGAAAATGATTTTACGCTAGGAATTTTTTCAGGTGAGATATATTTGAATCTTATATTTTCATAGTAAGGTGCTTTAGGATTACCTGCGATTACTCCATACATATATCTAACAAATGCCCATTTTGGCTCATCTGGATGAAATCCACAAACTATCAAATCATCACACTTAATATATCGGGATCCTCCTTTTTTACCTTTGTATATATTTTCAGCTTTATCTCCCAGAACAAGATTTCCAAGTATATTTGTCTTACCTGTACCACTCATACCAGTAAATACTTTACTGAAAGGCCATGTTATTGCTGGATGTCCAACATTTCGGGATGATTCATGCTTTGTGGCCTCATCCATATCCATAAGGTAAAGTTTCATAGGTGGTAGGCTCGATGAGCCATTGCTCTGCAATAGTTCTTTCTTTTGGTTTTTTTGTATGACGGATTGGGAATCCATAACTCTGATTTCTATAGACTGGATAAAAAATTTCTTCCCCCCGATAATTCACTTCACTTTGTTTGCTCATGGTCGGTTTATATATTCCAGAAAACAGATTGCCGGAGGCGGTCGTACGGTGGCTATAATCTGGCTTCGAGTTCAAAGAACGAGGTGGATTGGGCGAAAAATTTATACCATATAATTAATATTACCACCAAGGCAAAAATAGTGAACTTAATAATAGGAGGAGTTGGATATTTATTATCGTTATTAACCATACCTGCACCTAACGCTACAATAGGTAATTCTTTACCCCCTTCTTTTGTGATATTATAAATCTGAGGATTAGATTAGCACTCACTCGTACATTCGTGCTAATCGGAGTCATATTCTTTTTTATTTCTGGGGTTTGATACTTTGTATCATCTATATCATCATGAGCCAGTATGGGAGTACTTACTTTTGAAGATTCATGTGTAAGAATACTTTCATCTTTCTTTCTACGTACAAAATATTGGGCAAGATTATTATTGCAAAGCAACGGTTTTTCGAACCTATCAGAATTCGATATGGAACTTTGTTCCTCGCTCTGCGTATTTTTTTCGTCGCCTCCAGTAATCACGGATCTTGGCCGTGCCACCGCTGATGTAGTATCTGATTTTAATCGTTCAAGCTCATCGATCTTTGAAGCCAATTTACTCTTTATATGCTCTAGTTCAGCTTTAAGAGACATAATCTCAGAATCTTTTTTTGATGAATTTTCCTGAATCGAAAATGCGTCTTTTTGGGCTGATGCTAACTTACTCTCCAATATCTTAATCATAGCCTGGAGTGATTTTATTTCTTTTAATTGGATATCATACCTGGCTTTATACTCATCACGGGAAATCTGTGATCGGGTAATCTGGGATGTAAGGTTAGTATTGTCCACTTTCAATCGTTTAACCTCATTAATAAGTTGACAACTATGCTTAAAAAGTTTCTCTTTATCTTTATTGGATCGATTTAGATCATACTGCATACGCTTATTATCTTTATCCAAGACAGAACATTTATTGGAAAGTCGATTGCCACACTCTATAGCAATTTCTCGATCTCGATTTGCACAAGCAAGCTGATTTTCAAGTTCTATTCGATTAGATGGATATCGACTAGATGGTATGTCACCTAATTTACTGCCTTTGCCTATATCTGACAATGTATGAATTCGAGACATACGTGTTTTAACACTAGCTCCACTATTATATTAATGAAATAAATATAAAAAATAGATATAATGTATTAAATAAAATATACATATCTATTAATGTGCTAATTTTAATGTATTAGATAGAACATATGTACGTGCTCCGCTATAATCCTATATATTTGATGTATTCCATTTTTCTGATATATTTTATATTTTTTATTTTTCCGATATATTCTGTTAGATAAAAAACAAAGTAATTGTATTTATTACTATGGTTAGAGTACGTATAAAATCTGATGCACCTTTGTTTTCTGCTGAAGACTATTCATATATAATGCGATGTCGTGATATAAAGCCAAGATACAAAATTTTAAAGGAATTATTAGATAAATATAAAACATCATCAAAACGGATTTATCAGATCTGGAGAGGAGAAGAAGCTAACAGAGTTGCTTTGGGATCAACCTATACCTCAATTATATGAAACAAATAATATATCTAATCACGAAATGCCAGCTTTTAACAATAATTTATCTAGTATAAATAATGTAGAGGCAAAGCCTCATTACTCTGCAATAAATCACTCTGAAGTTTCATTAGATAAATCAGCAGAGATGGGACGACTAAAGATTCAAAGTTCTACTTCCTCGCGTACAGTAAAAAAAAGTGCCTCTTCTATAGACAATACATCTAAGAGAAAATCGCCAAGCTTAGTATTAGACAGGAGAATATGAACGTTAATTTAGGGCTGTGCTAGCTTCAAAGTAAACTCCCCAAGGCTAGCGGCCGTTGTTCTTTTTCGGCGAACAATGTATATAATCTATTCCACCAATTCTCATCGAGCATTCTGATCTCCGCATAGTCTGCAGGTTGAGGTATATTCTAAATATTATATCGCCAAGGATTGACTTAAGTCAAGCCTTCTTTCTTGTCAATGATTCTAATTCTGTGCTAATCACGCTTTACAGTGAGTCGTACATTCTATACACATTCTCCTCTTAACTTTACTATTAATTTTAAGCTCACTCATTGTGCCGTTCTCAGCTATCATCTGAACGTGAATTCAGAATTCAATTTTCAATTGCAATTTTCCAACAGCCTACGCGTATTTCAAAACTGCGGTATCATGCGTGCCAGCTAGGCGCCCTATTTACTTCCTACGTTAATAATAAGACGTTGATATATTTTAAAGCCATTTTATTCATTGTGCCCAAACTCAGTCTTACTTTGTATTCCTCGCTATGCCAGTATTGCAATCAACCTCAAATGCAAAAGGGGTGTCGGTAGCTTTTTGAGTAGACAGTCTAAAAAAAACACGAGCAGCGCGGCCACGCTCATGTTGTCTGTAAGGAAAAGCCCCGAAAGCATAAAGAGATCTAATAGTCAAAGTTGGAAGCGCACCAACCTTCCACCAGCTTTCCCCTATACACGGTGCCATTGTTAAGCTCTAGAGACACGACGTGTCGTGCAATAGTTTAATAGGAACTCCAATCGACATAGTGATAAAATGTTGGTTTCCAGTTCAAAGAATTTAACACATTGTGTTCATCTCATTCGTAAATATGGGTTTGGAACTTGGACTTTTAACTACATTTCCATATTCATTCATAATAGATACATTTTTATTTCATTTGGCGATATCCAGAAATTTTCCAACTTCTATTTACAGGATACTAATACTAATAATAAACATTATCATATGACGAGACCTCTTCGCAATGACGAGGTATCGGCACGGTGAGAATAATTTACAAGACGAAATCAATAGTATTGACAATGGGTGATGGTGATGATGGTAGTAATGATGGTGATTACGGTGATAATTATGATAGTGGTGATGACGGTAATGGTTATGGTAATGATACGAGCGTCATCGTACTTTAGCTTGTTCACTTTTATGTATTCCCATGAGCCATCGAATTTTCGTACATATCTCGTCTGAATAGTCGTGTTGTAGAATAAAGGTGTTACAAATATGATAAAACTTGAACAAGGAGTAAACAATTGTCTCGTTACTTACTTGCCACCTTTGGTGATTCTGCTTCAAAGTCATAAGTCTTGTTGCCAGTATCTCGATTAATAACTAGTTTGAAATTTGCCGACACTTTTTTCGTTGGTTTACAAGATATAATATTGGATATATGATACGACGACTGCATGGATTTGAAAGACAGTTAAAAAGAGATAAACGTATAAATGAGGTTATTCAACGGTTAAAACAACATACCGTTTTCATTGTATCGAACATAGTCCTCGTCTCGGATGGCATAATGTGAATATAATCGCCATCTATCGCAAGTATGACATGACGACCGCCAAACATCGGCATCTTTCGATTGACGGTATATTTCTATAATAAATATTGATTAGTTACGAGTATGCTGACAAATAAGATTGCACAAGTACTACCAACTCACCTGGTATACAGACGTATAGTCGTTAGAAGATATGTACGGCGGCTGTGGTAGATCCCTTGATCCTCTATTTGCCTTTTTAGCGCCTCTTATACCTACAAGATAAAAGCAAATCAATATCCGATACCTCTAATAATCATCGCTCTCCCGGAAATACATACTGTTGCCACTTGTACTATCCACAGAATTAGACCTCTCGTTTGGCTTCTTCACCAAAGCAATTTCAGCATTTCCAACACTTTCCACTGTCTTGTCCAATTCCAAGAATACATTCTCCTCTGCCATCTTAAACGTATACTCTTTACTATCCAATTTCCTTTTCCTACATACACTTTCCAGTACATCAGACAAATGCTGCTCGGCGGGAACGTTGATTGTAGTTGTGTGAGTAATTTCAGAGTATGGCGTGAGACGAATACGAAGGAATACTTGGTTGGCGAGATCGATAGGGGGCGCAAAAGACGTGACCGTTTCGGTATTGGTGCTCGCCCGTGTTGTTGGGACAGTGACTGTTGAAGTTCCATTTGTGGCGATTGTGGATATAGACGGAAGGGAATCTTTATTTGTAATTTGAGATTTGGACGTTCCTAGTTTTTTAATTGCGAGTAGGTTATGAAATAAAATGTCGCAAGAATGGAAATTAGCAAAGTAAATATTTTTGAAATTACCGAATAGATATAGTAAAAAAGAATAATACCTTGTTCTGGGTTAGCTTCACATAATGCAAACTGATTGAACTGAAATTTGGATATGTTTCTAGTCCTATCCAAGGCTACAAAACAAAACATTTGTTAGCGTTAACGAATAAATTTCCAACCGATCTATTGTATCGACTCGATAGCATATGGTCTTAAATTTCTATCAAGTCGTACTAAACACTTATTAAGCCCCTATTGATACATTCTCGATCCAACGACGCTCACCTAAAAGGTCTTCATCTATTTCTCCATCATCTTCAACAATTCTCATAATCCATTGTGAAATATTACACATCTTTGGTTCCAAAATAGGCTCTCTCTTCTCCTCCCAATACTGATACAGACAATACCCGATAACCTTCTCCACAGTTGCGTCTCTCTTAACAACAACATTCAATGGCCTCTTTGGCTCTGTACTAAATGGAAGGTAAATCTGAAGCTTTATTGGCTTCAAGTCACCTTTGCCGGAAAAATAACCGTAATCCTCAGCAAATGGATTGTCCTCTTTATTTTTCTTCTCCTCTATCAAAGCCGACAGGGCCGAAAAGGGCTTGGGTCTCACTATTGGTTGAGGTGGATCGGGTATAAACTCTCTAACCTCTGCTTCCGACAAAGCTCGCCGAGGTGGTGGTGTATATGGTAATTCTCCGTTATTAGTCTGTAATAATGATCCACTAGACTCTCGTCGTCCGATCAGCATTACTGGATCACTTTCAGCAGAAGTTGTGGGCGATAGTTGAGGTGTCTGGTCCGTTGAGGAGAGTGCGGTAATGCTATCCGGAGATGTCTTGAGTGCACCTCCGGATGAATATGAGTGCGCTGTTGCTGCTGCTGCTGCTGCTGTTGTTGTTGTTGTTGTTGCTGTTGCTGTTGCTGTTGCTGCTGCTGCTTCACGCCGAGCATTAGATGGTTTCGGAGGTGATGTCACAAAGACAGGTGGAGCGGCAACGTTTTGTTGCGGAAGGTCTAATTTGGTAAAGAATGGTTCCTGGCTTTTGCTTTTTTTATATATAGAATTGTATGAATTAGATCAAATTCAATTGCTAAAATTCTAATTGCTAAAAATTCGATCGCTGATAAGGGTAAAATCCCGAATAATAAAATATAAATTATGTAGATTGCATGTGCATATTATCCGAGCAAATAGGTCGTAGTAAGAACTGTAATTCACATAGACTACCTGTTCTCTTCTTTGAACTGAATTAATTACCTATTATCCAGATCGCTCCCATCCTCACTGTCCATTGTAGTATTGGTACCGATCTTCGCCTGCTGACCAGAGCCTGCTCTTCTTCGACCGCCTATCTTCACACCACCGGGGGAAACACCAATATGCGAACTACTACCTATACTTCGACTGAAGTAGTCATTACCCAACGTATTCGTACTAGGCGAATAACATTCTTGCATCTCCGGATAAGAAGATCCAGCCGCTTTGATGTAGTCATTTGATAGAGTGGTCGGGTCAAAGGTTATTATTCGGCCACCGATTCGGTCTTCTACGCGACGTAGGTAGCCTATTCTGAGGTGGTGTATGAGGTAGCTTTAAATAGTTGAAAGAAGAGATCGGCTGGTGTGAGTGTGAGGGAATAAGTAAAGAGTTCGCGTGAAATGCTGTAGGGTTGTATGGAATAAATTACACTACGACTTACTCTGGATCATTCAATAGCGACATTGAGTAAAGTGTATATGTAACTGTTGAATGTGCTAAAATATATCAGGTGGGACGAAAAACTATGGGAAGCTTACTGAACAATCATGTGTTCTAATTAATGATACAAGTCAACATGACGTAAATAATAATAACAATAACAAACGACAATTATTAATACAGATTGTATTCACATATTTAGATTCTCTTGTCAAAGTGCAATTACTAATTAGAAAAGATAATATTGTCTACATATAGAATAAACATGCTTACCACCTTGGAAGTTTTTTGTTGTGGGGTAACTGTGCACAGATGTTCGCGGTGCTAACTAGAACGGATAACGGGAATTTAACAACATATATACTTGGCAAATAAAGGGTCTTTTTTTAATGCACTTTATAAAAAACGAGCCTGTTGAACTAGCTCAATTTAATCTTTAGCGCCCAAATTTCCATCTTTATTGAAAGTATAAATTATCATTAATTCTAACGTCGGTTTTATCAACATTATTAATATTAAATATACACTATAACCACAATACCAGAAATCAGAAAACTAAACAACGTCTCGCTCTCGCTCTCTCTCGTTATGCTTTTTTCGCCAACCAAGCTTCTTCAACCTCGTATCCCTCCGATACAATCCAGATTCGAGCAACTCGAACTTTTCCCTTTTTTCCTTTTCCCATCTACTTCTCATCCACTCGAATTTGCCTTCGTCTATCCAAACTTTCAAATGTAAATGCTCCAAATTTCTCGCATTCCCATGATTCAACGTCATTCTCTCGAACATGCCACTTTCCCATGGCGCATTAGTCGACTTTGCTTCTCCATCCAATAACTGACATGTCAAATGGAACATTGCAAATATCTCTTCGTCTGTACAATCAGACAATCGCTCTATATGACGTTCGGGGGTAACAATGAACATCGGTCGAGCTTTAGCATCAAACCATAGCCGATGAAGCTTCTCATATGCAAGAGTTGATGATGGATATGGAAGAGAAGACGCACGGTTTGTTTCCGAGTGACTATCGCATGACAAGCAATTGGCAACTTTTGCTGGGGGTGGTCGATTTCTGACTCTGGAAACCTTCACATAGAAGCTATTGTCCTCTTCGAACACCATGAATTTAAAATGGTGCCACCGACAATCGATTTCTATTTTATTTAATATGTCACGAAAGAACTTTACTGCCTGATCATATACTTTGATATCGTCTTTAGTCCGATCATAATTCACTCCGCCAAGAAACTCGACAAGGCTACATGGGTGATCTGGCTTGAATATCTGAGGTTTGGAAGACGATGAAAACGAACGAAAGCGACGCGAGTGTCTGGCTGGAGAAGCTTGTTGTTGATGGTATGAAGAGGAAGACCCCAAGTGTGAGTATGAGTGTGTGAACGAGGACATTATACGGGCTGTAAGTGAGAATTGACGGAGGAAGAATGAGCCGGTGCAGTGTGTTCTAATTGTGACCGCAGAAATTTAAGTGAATTTAAATTTGGATGACTATGTGTTACGAACACATGTTATTATTGTTGCAAAAATGGGTTTCAAGTGTCCAATGAAGTTCGAGTCTAATTCTGGACAATGTTGATGATAATCTATACAAAATAATGCAATAATAACAATAGAGCCTGTCGTAAGCTCAGACTATTATACGAATTACTGATGCAGTAAATATTGATTTAAGGCAATTAAAACCTCTCCAAGACTAATTTCCACGTTTATGTCCATTAAAATTGTTGTAAATTACAACTTTATAAACAGGCGCATTCTATACTTTGCATAGAATGAAGATACTACGGACTATCAGATAAGATCTTACCTTGATCAAACACGTGACACGTGACACACGCAACACTCCAGAAGTTGACTTAATTTCCATATTTAAAATTAATATTAATCAACTTGAAAAATACTCTAACTTTGGTTAATTCCGCTAGAACTGCTTCGCTGATAATCGAGTTATAAAGCACACTGCAGATGGGGAGGCAATCATTTCGTCGACAAACATTTCACCGACAATCATTTCACCGACAAATCTTCACCAACATTATTTCGAAGTTATCCTTTTTTGGTACTTAATTGTCGGTGAAATGTACTGTCGGTGAAATGATTGTCGATGAAATAATACGGACCCCTGCAGATGCTTATTTTATAATTCTGACGAGTTTCGTCTTTCAATTTGTATTTTAATAATTGACTCAAATTCTAGAGACTAACATGTATTAAACGGACAATTGGTTAATTTAAGTAGAAATTATATTAATACGTTCTATATAAACAGCTACTTTTACTTTATGCGAAATTTAATAGTTCTATTAATAAAAAAAAGAGATTCTGTCCTGTAAAATTTTTTGACATCAAACACCTCGCAGAATTTCGATACTAACTATGGATGAATCGCTATTGTCGCGTAGGAGAGTAAAGCGTCCGATAATTCAACAAAAAATGTCCACTTAACAATATATATTAGAGTAACCAAGTAACATTGCAACTCTAAGCGAACGATTGTTTATTTGCCACATGCAAAGATATCATAATATGTCTTTTCGCCGTGAATATTTATAAGATCTTAAACTGAAGATGTCTCTATAATAGCCTGGTCTAAAATATTGTCCTCCGTGAGATGTGTTTGAAAAAACAAATATGCCGGTTATAATTGTTGTCTCAAATGCTCGTGTCTGATTAAACACTTTTTGACATGTTTGGAACAGAATACAATGCCATTTTAAAAGTCAAATACATTAATGCAAAAGTTTCGTTTTTGATATATCAGGAGTTCCGTTTTTGATAGATCGGCAAGTACCCAAATTTAGGTTCCGTTTTTGATATATCCGCAGTAAAGTCACGTTTGTATTATTGCCCTGAGGTTTATCCGTTGCGTCATATTCAAATCGATCCATGATGTCAGACATTAACCATAGCTCATTTATGATATCCCACGATCCTCTTTCTTCCCAAGTATAATGAATACCATTCGGCTGCTCGGCCAAAAGGGAAACAGTACTGTCATTGTTGTAAATAATTTGGTTTTCATAAGACATTTTAACAAGAGAAGCGATGAAGTAAAGTCAAAATTTAAAGTCTTCAGAGGAAAGACGCGTACGAAAACTATCACTATGTTGTATTATATAATCACTAATTCGTGATACGAGACACGATAAAATCAAATTCTACGAAATATTGTACGAATTTAAACAAATTAGGCAAAAGTTATTTTATTCGAAACTCAAAAAAAAACGGAACCTAAATTTGGTGTGTACTTGCCGATCTATCAAAAACGGAAACTTTTGCCTAGTGTTACCTTGACAAGTGACCTTCACGCCCAATGAGAATGCTTCTGATATATTAAAATCGCCAAGCGTTATGTTCGATTTTAAACAAAAAAATTTTTTATGGCATAGTTTTAATTATATTTAACGTCGAGTGACACTATATTACATGAGGCACACTTGATCTGTGTGTCAATGTCCAGATCATTCTCTGCGTCTCGTTCGCCGTATCTTTACTATCTCCATCGTCGTCATCATTATCACTTATTCTTCATTTACCTGTGATGCCTAACTACTAACATAATAGATGGGTTACTTGATCCACCTCCATTTTACGTAAGAAGACTTGTCATTGTTGTTGCTATTACTATTATACTTGCTGATATTATTTTATTAGCGGAGCTGATGCGGCCCTAACGTGTTTATTAACGAAAACCATAAAGAGATAATGAAATAGAGAAATAAATAGAAATTAAGTGCTTAAATGTCATGAATTAATATGACCGATAACCTGTGAAATAAACTGCTATTTCAAATGCAAATGTTAATATAATAAAAAATACTAAAATATATAGCCTGTATGATCATCGGATGCTTGTGCTAATGATAATTGCTTGTCTGTTTGAATGCACAGCATAATATATAATATTCAGCCTTGCAAGTAGTTAGGATCAAGATATCAAGTATCACTATTCTGTCGCAAGTAATCGTGTAAATTTTCAAGGCGACTTTGCTAGATATCATCAACGCGCCTCATTTTCTTCTCCTTCATTCTCAGGCGCCTCTTGAATGGCTGCAATAATTTCATCATCATTGAGCAATATCGCTTGTTTCTTAAAGTATTATCAATTTCAATATAATCTTCTGCTCTTACGACGGCATCGATCATTTGATCAATAAGTGACTGAACGATGTCTTCTATCTCAATTTCATCATCCAGTGGTTCATTGATGATATCTTCCAACTCATCAGGTAGAAAAGCCCCCTCTGGGGTTTATATATATAGTCGGTCGGAGGGTAGGAGTAGATAGGCATTGCTCTGGTATTGATACAAACCAGTTCGTTCCCAGCATCTGTATATTACATCTTCGGTCACATTCTGCAATTGCATTAAAGTAGGAATCTCGGTTCCATATTCCTGAAGTTGATTAATGCATCTATTCTATTTTTACACAAATATTAGACTTAAAGGAGTGAACAATCCCCTGATCTATTGGGTGGGAAAAAGTGCAATCTGATGTCGCATTAATTCGTTAACGCATCCAAGATGCATTACCATACTGGTAGTGTGTTTTTATCAACGTTACGATTGAATACACTTTGGATTTTGTATCGATGAATGAAAACAGCTGGCAATTTATGAGTGCCGGTTACATTGCACGCATCGTGACTCTGTCTTTGGGCTTTTTTATACCAGTAAGAGGACTACTAGAAAGAGATTTATTAGGTTCTAATTTTCAGTAAACATTCAAATCATATTGTACTAATAGACTTGCGCCTGCAGTATTAGTATCATCGTTACTTCGGAATATCTGGAATGTAGTTTCATCAGAAAGAGTAGCCTCGTTCAGTCTATAATTATATTATTTGTTTATGGGAAACGTAAAAAGAATGTCTAGAAATCTAGTTTTGTTTTTAAGACATCGACAACGCTGGACTATCAAAATCACGCTTCTCTACGTATCTTGGTAGTTTGTTACCATCCTTTAAAGCATCTATCTGCACACACGCACACGACGTAATATTATAGAGTACGTACCCATCTAATAACCAAATAATATAACAAGGATAGCATAAGCAATACCAACACCTTTTATTTAAATAATGAGCCTGGCAAAGTTTTTTGTCAGAAATTATTAAACAGTGAATATGAGACGTTCACTTTACTTAAACTTGGCAATAGGCTTGCACCTATTCCTCTACTAAATACTCAGCCAGTCTCGTATAGTAGACAGAAGTACCTATATTAATATGATGAAGTTCGAATGACCCATATAAAGATATAACTTGTCCAATACCACATGAAGTTATCCACTATCATTATCCTCCAACTTAAACCACCTGTGGTCAGTTAGTTTTTCTTGTTGAACCTTTTGCGGTTTGGTGAGTTCTCGAAATCTCTCCCCTTCCTCAACCCACCGTTCGAATTGCTGACGGTTACCAAGAACATACATATACCGTGGATTTTTCTTTACAACGTCTTCAAAGCGCGACGGTGGCCTATGTGCGGGAAACGCTGTCCTCCACACCTTGTTACCGAAGTATCTGATGATATTGTGAATAGAATGTCAGCCCATAAAGATAAATAATGCAAATAGACGATTTCACTAACAATGTCACCTACTCTGTATCTAGCATGAATCTTACGCGTAATCTCAAGATTTCTCGTTCCCCGAATTCCTTGGCAGCGGTATATATATCACCCATTATGGCAATAAGGATGTTTAACATAATAATAACTAGAAGCAAGCTTGCAACGACGGTGAAGATTGTAACTGGATAGTAATTCCAGTCCACATTATCCCATCTTCCATTCATCCAATTATAAGAAGATAACACGGAAATCCAGAAATTTGCAAAATTATTGTCAGACGCGTCTTGCGGATTGTAATTTTGATATACTGTATAATTTGTCTGTTCAACGTCGCCATTAGGAGTTGTCACGTTGACACCGAGTTGTAGAATATTTGGCGACAGCCCAATTTCTATTGGATCATGCAAAAGCACGTACCTTTTGATGTGAAACGCGGGATTTAGTATTTTACATACCTCTCTCAAAAAACAGTTGAAATACATTGAATCTACTTACATGGCTTGCCCGAACGCTACAACAAGTATAAACAATAACGCCAAGAACGGTAAAATATGGAAAACTATGTTGCTAATGATAAGCACATAGATGCCAGAAACTGAAGTATTCACCAAATGCAGTATTAAAGACTAAATTCACGTAAAACACTCGAAACTCGAGAAATCGTGTCTCACCTTCAAATAATCTTAAAAGCAACAGAAATCGTAACCACATGATGAATGTACTAATGGAAATAAGGAAGAGCATATTTCTGCTTATTTCAGTCTGACCAAATCCCCACACCCCATTGTCATCATGCGTTGCTCTGAATGTCAAGACTGCAGTTGTTACTATAGGAAGAATATACGAACATAGGTCGACTACGTCGTAGAACGTCAAGCGTTTTCGTCTATTGTACATTACAGTCAGTCGAAACAATATATAGTATGTCCCAATTACAAAAAGGTATACGGCTACAGCATAGTTACTATTGTTTTGGTGAATGTACTGCCATACGAATGCATCAAAGACTATCAAATAAGAAAAAAACAGAAACAAAAAGACGAGATAGAGATAAGATTCGCCCTTCCATGCATGATCAATAATGCCAGAAATGACCGGATTATCAAGAAATATTCCATTATCCTCATCCACAGCCTTTTCTAGTAGACGCCCAACGACATGAGCGTCAACTGGTACCGGAATGCGACGCACAGTATTTATAAGCGCCATAGGATCCTTAGAGAGTAAGAAAGAACTTCGTGTGAAATGTGAAGCATGATATTAAAAGTGTGAAAATTATATTGGATATTACATTTGAATAACTCATACGCAACATTTCTATTTTAATCCTTTAAGCTACAAAAATTCAACAACCCCAAGGAACATTCCATCCTCGCCGCGAAATCTTCTTACCTTGCGTCAAACATAGCTGCGATGGTTTTCAAAGCAAATGAGAAGGGGGTAAACACGCCTTTTACTATAGTTCCAAGCTTAACTTGCCGGAGTTGTCGCTTCGATTGCTCAAGTCGCAACTTGACCGATAGCACCGTGCGCTCTGCTTTAGTCAAATAAGCGTATCTCAAACTTGCAATTACGTCATTTCTCGTCAATGGCTCCAAGTCATCGTGAATCACTTGTGACCATCGAAACACGGTTGCGTAAGATGCGGAAGGATGCTCATGATCATGTAATGAATGTCCGGCGAACGTTGAATGAGCCAACAATCTCTTTGTAGGAATATCCAGATCTAATAGAAAGGTAAATCGTAAGAGAATTTGGTGATAAAAGTACTAGCCAGATTTAATCGACTAATTTTTATTTCAATACTCACTGCCGGCTTTAGATGATTCCAACTCAGATAACGCCGATAGAGCTCCTCCTACTGTATGCATCCAACCATAATGCTTTTTGGCATGATGAGCATAATACGTGAGAAAGTTCTCGGTCAACCTGTTGTTTTTCTCGATGACCATCATTATATCAGTATCCTTCTTTTCCAGTTTTTCGTTAGCATTACGCCATGAATATTTTCGCGGAATGTGTAGCAGACAACCTCCCTCTTTGTTGTTATTTTCGTCGTCACTAACTTTAATCAAGTCTTGTGTCAGGCGAGAACATCCTCCAATGATTAAAGACTTCATCAAGTCGTGTCGCACTTCGAGTAGACTCCATTCATCAGGATGATGTTTAATAAAGATGCGAACAATATTGGAAATTTGATGTTTGATTTCATCGAACAATACGCGTCTTTCGTACGGATGGTTCTTGTTCTTCTTCTTATCCAACCATTCAAGGGCTTTACATGCATCTATGACCACTTTACTAGGATCAACTGGCCATCTGATTTGCAAGACATCCTCCCGCTTGATTGTGAGATCGAACCTATCTTTGTAAATAGTAATAGTGATCTTTGGATCTACCTTGGGATCGGTTATGATGTCCTCATTCGCATATATGTACAATAATAGACGTTGATCGTCCGGTAAGAGCTTCCATATTTGTATACAACCCCTTCCGATAAGAAGTTGTCGCCGATTTTTTCCCTCCGCACTTTCATCCAGCCATACACCTATTATCTTATTACCGTCTGGTATCCATGGTTCTATCCTACGTATTATCAGCTGTGTCAATTTGGAGTCTGGCAGGCGATATGTTTTTTCATCTAATTCATATACAGTCGAATACTCTAATTGTTTGTCGGCCACAATTGGCGGGTCCTCTCCTCCACTGACTTTCTCCTCTTCTGGATCAAAGCAGTCGAGAACTAGTTTTAGTTCCCCTTTGTCTGTAACAAAAATTGCCGTATTGCCAGCCCACCTGACTCCATAAAGATTCGGTCTTTTATAAAAGAAGTAATCTGGTAAATTAATTTTTTTTATAGTTCTGTCGGGTCTGCACGTGAATAACTCCCATACAGTAGCCACTAGTTCGTGTGTCTCTTTAGCTTCTCTGATAATTAGCAAGCATTCGTCATTATTGATGAATTCGATCAATACTATTCTATGCGATTTCGTTGCATCCTTTCTTCCGCACTCTAAACCATTTTCCATCAGATAAATGTTGATGGACGTTGTATCAAGACTAACTGCCAACAAAGCGCCATTTTTGGATATTGCCAGTACCGGTGTATCAAAGCAAGTTAGACTCGGATCGCCATGGTGATGGAGATCGAAAAGATGCCGCCCATCACGTAGATTGTACACACGAAGTATTTTCTTCTTTGGGTCAGGTTCAAAGTACACATGTGACTTGATCGTCCTTACTAAAAATTGAAAGTAAGCTTTGCTATGTAGGCCTTTCCACTTATCCTTCATATTGTGTCTATATGCCATCGGGATATCACGCTGCCATACACCAGTTTCCTTGTATGGTTCTGTATGTTCTGGATCGATATTGTATTGAAATATTCCTCCTTCATTTGATACTGTCAGTAGCCACATATCCGAGTCGGGGTCCGATACAAAATTAACTACTCCAGCAACTTTATCTAATGGCGTTTGTATCATTACCCATTTATCGGGATTATTACGATCCATCACAAGCACGTACGTAGAGTTGCAATCTCGCGAAGGTGCGCTCCAATTCGGTACAAGGCTAAGTGCAAACGTCCTTTTTTTAGAAGAACATACAGATTCTAAATCCGAATTTGTTTCATAAATTTCTTTAGTTGGAAAATAGGAAAACGCAATTAAAGTCTTTCCATTATTATTCGCATTGGATATGGCTAGACTCCATGTTGGCATAGTAGAATCCCGGTCGTAAGCTTCTTGTATATAACTTGCATCGATTTTATATGAGGGTTCGGAGGCTTTGGAGATTTCATTTCCGTTAATTTCGTACGCTGTCAGATATCCAACGACCTCACTTCCTTCTTCCCCTTTTAGAATATTATTGAGATGGGAGATAAATAATGAGTTGAGCATTAAATAAATATGTAATCTATATCCTTATAATGAACTTACGAATGCCAAATTTGACAACTTCTTTTCCATTATCACTTATGGCGATATGATATCCCCATCCTGGTTTAGAGCAAACTTCCTCCATTCATGCGGTAAATATCCAAATTTTTGACGGATCATCAGATGTACTGTAACTTGTCGATTGTGCTTCGTTACAACGCTGATCGGAGCCTTGATAAGCCATCTTAGGAGCAGTCACGCAGAGCTATATTTAAGATTATAATCAACATCCTTCTTATTAAACTTACAATTAGAAAAGCTGACAACCTCTCACTTATTTGCGATATGAAATGGCAATTTGGTTTGAGAGAATGATTTCTCCTTTCCTACAATCGGTGTGAATTTCTTCGTGACACGACATGATAAAATTAGCTTGGCTGCCAGCAATTGACATGTACTTGTTTTTGATCATCTCGTTCTTTGTGGGCATACCATACCTCCCATCAAATGCACACTCACCCGAGGGGAATGAGACTTGTACTCTGGGAATGTACTTGTTTTGGTGTTACGTGGGGGTGCTGAAAAGTTTTGTCGCCGGGGTCATATGTCAATGATCAGCTGACCGATCCAAAAATGTTGGTAATCCAACGTTGCGCAATGTTTCGAGGAATAAAAGAAAAAAAAGATTATAAAAATTCATTTGATTATTCTCGAGAAATAGATTTTTGAAAACCCTATACAAAAGCAATTGGACAAAAATGAGCTATGAACAGCAACGATACTACATTTATGTTTCATGGAAGAACGGTCGGGAGCCAACTCAGAT